ATGTGAGGTGTTCTGGCAAAATGAGATGGAACTGGGCTCAGGCCTTAGTGGAGAAAAATGCAAAAACCAAATGGGGGTGATTTTTTTTTTTGATTTTCAGATTTATTGATATTTGTAAAATATAAAAATAGTATAAAAATTGAGGGAAAAAAGGTTTTTTTAGGGAAAGACATTTTGCACCTCGAAACAAAACTCGATACTTTAAAGGCCTTTTCTCAGTATTTACTTTTTTGACAGGTTGATTAATGTGAAACTTAAACACACACAACTTGTCAATGGAATGGCCGATTGATGTGCAAAAAACAGTATTGCAAGGAGAATTGAACTCTCTTTCATAATACCTGCTGACCCTCATTTCGACCTCTGCCCAGTTCTGTCTCATTTTGCCCGAACGCCTCTCAAATGATTCCCACAGCATTAAATACATGTAAACCTGTTACTTCCATAACTGTTACAAAGTTACATTCTACTTACTACTCTTTGATACCAAGAACTAAAAACACTGTTTAAAACAGGTTTAAAATTTATTTTAGCAATAAGTAAGTATGGCCTGAAACTTTATGAAACTTACCAAACTGTGCCTACAGCCACGAATCAAACAACAGATCAACAACAATACCGACCGGTAGGTTCCATATAAATGAGAAGCACTGCATACCAAGGTGGATTATAAACTTCAGAGATCACCAAGATCCATCTGGATACACATTGTCTTTCTCTTAATGATGAAGAAAACAGCCACAAACCGGAAGACGGGGCAAAATTGCTTTTCAAGAAATATGCACTATTGCAGCGCTGTGTGTGAGTCAGCTCATTGGAAATCCCTCCACAACAAAAAGCCCGCTAGTCACTGAATCCAGCAAGAAGGCCAGGCATAATCACAGTGATAATACTGCCATTGTTGGCAGGGGAATTAAGTTACTAGAAACTGACCCATGATTGTTCACAGGGACAATACAACTGTGAAGGATTTACAGGCCAGACAATAGATTTACTTTATGGTTTCTTTCTTGGTCCTAAACTGTTGTGCATTTGTTGACAGTGATAATGGTCTTAGTTGTGCTTGGGGATGGAAAAGACCACTGTTTATGATGATCAGACAGAAAATGAGACAGTTACATGTATGCACATGACTCTCTAAACCTATAACACTGATTATCTGTTTTACATGTATGATGTAGGTTACCAGTCCCATGATGTAAAAAAAAACCTCAGCATTTTGCATCAAGTGTGTAAAGAAACTCTAACTTCATATGATGTGAATAAGAAACCCCATAAAAGTTGTCAGATAGTCACTTAATTGGGACATAAAACACAGACTTGAGGGAAACCGATTCTGTAAAAATAATGTACAGATATGCAAGGATCTACATACATATGTACAATGCACACGTATGCAATGTAAATTTACAATCAGAGCAGGCACACTGTGTGTTAATACACTCATACCGTACAGTACAGTACACTGTCTACCAATTAAAAAATATTCCTAATGTAAGGATAAAAATTAATTATTGACTAATATCTACCGATTGTCTGTTTGCCAAACAATTAAGTTGTCAAGAATAGTGCATGGACTAGGCACTGAACTTGCTAATGACTCATTCCATTATGAGCACTAGAATTGGTTGAACAACATCAATCACACAGGGTTGCTCAAAATGTTCCGATAATATACGTGTACCATGTGAGGAGACAAAATGAACACATCAAATAAATAATTTTAACATAGGGACCAGCTGCATAAAGAGAACAAAATCCTAATGAAGTCTTAGACCAAGAGATACCGTACAGGTATGTACAGTACCGTACTGTACATACCGGTAGTATACATGACCACTTGCCTTCAAATGTCTAGCTGCACATGTACACTCTTCACCGTCATCTTGTGAACTGGAAAACATCCCTTTGCTACACCCAGCCGGCCGTAAGGACACTCATCATAATACAGTGTCTATAAAGTTCCTCTCAATGTTATCACTCACTGAAATACAAAATACAGTTCTGGATACCCCTTCACAGTCGCAACCTCTTAATAAAATATCACCTCTGATAAAGGTTCAAGATAGAGACCATCATGATGCAACTTAGCATGTATGTAAATGCCATGGACTTGCATTGAGTGGTGTTACTGGCCTTGTGTCGAGGTAGAGAGAAGTGTGCTTTTGCCACCTGCTCTATAATGGTAATTGATTGGTACGAAACGATGGCATAAAAAGACATGCACTCATTATGTAAAGGTACAAACACACCTTTAGACCATTAAAAATTAACCTTATTTTTCATCTGAGGGAACCAAATCCGGCTAAATACTTAACATTTAATAGTTCAATATATCATACTCTTATTGCAGAAGTGTATGTACCAGTAAATACCCGGTACAAGTTATTTGGATCAGATCCGCCGAAAATTTCATTGCACAGCATTGAAAACCAATGGCCCAATTTCACAAAAGTTGCATATACACAGTGAGTATGTCAGAAACTTTCATGTACCGGTACCTAAATCTAAATGACGGAGAGCTTTCCCAGTCATTTCTGGTGGGATAACTTGCAGTGAACAGATGATACTTGGACAATTAACTATCAAAGCATGATTGTTGTAAGCCCCATTATCACTATTACTCAACTTACCAAGGTTGTTACAAAAAAAAAAATTCCACAGCTTTTTTTTTAAGGGAAATTAAATAAATGCTCGTATATTGTTTCATAAATTTTGCTACAGTAAGCATACCGTATTGCGTAACAACCATACATATACCTTTCATCTTGAACACTGTGAAAGCGTTTACTTTTATTGAAAATTGAGGTAACAAGTAAAGTTTGTTGCCGGAAACGAAACAAACAGGATTGGAAGGTTACAGGAAATGTTGCAAATACTGGTAGATACCACACAGATCATGAGCCTGTATGGTCTACTTGGAATTACGCACTAATGAGGATTTCGATCTCGTCCTGAACACAAGGTTGTTATCGGAAAATCAAAACAGCCAAATGTCAAGGTACATGTAGTATGTTCATGTCCTGCCTGAAGCAGTTACATGTACAAGGACATGTACATGTACATGTAGTTTAGAATACATGTACTTGTAGTCAAGGCGTGGAATTAACAAATTCTGACAAAACCTCAAAAGCATTAAAATTACGGTATTTTCACATCAACAAATCTTGATTTAGTAGGCCTATAATTTTAAAAAAATGATGTTTAATAGTAAACCAACATGCATTAATCATGATGATTCTGACTTCTGAAAACAAAATTCAAACATAAGAAACTGTGAATGTTATTTTTACTACATTTTAAACATATGGTCCAACAGCAAATGCTAAATGAAAACAAATGTCAGTACTCACATTTAGGATGGTCAGACAGAAAAGAAGACATTGAGAAATCATGACCAATATTTCTTAAACACGCCAACCATTTAGACTCTATGCTAAAACATGTACATGTACCTGTACTCCACCCTTTTGGAGCACAGATATGTTCAATATTACTCACATGTTAGCCATATTCATAGCTTCTTCAAATATCTTTTGGTATCATCACAGGTTTATCTTTTAGAGACAATTCTCCCACGTTTGTACCATAGAATGACGATGACACAGACTGCAGGATGACGCTCATTACTTGTTTACATTGGAATGACAGATACGCGTCTCGTTGCAAAGTCCAAACGGAATGCTGGTATTAAAAGACTGTCATGTAGCCTATTATAAATGGTTCCATTTCAAATATTTTGTTTTAATGAAATAACAAAAGTGATATGGTAACATAAGGGATAACAAATAAGGGATAACAATTATCATAGAGATTACATGATAGATCATATGACTGTTATACACGTTTGTGAAGTACACTATACATGTAGCCCCATGTACATCTTACAGCAAAGAACAACTTCAAAATAAACCACAGATTTTCAATTAAAAACTGAAAGCTGATGTAAAACAAATCTCATTGGGAGGAAGTTTATTTACGTTTGATATTTCAACATGGAAATGCAGCAATCATATACAATTTTTTTTTTTCTGAGCATGCACTGAGTAAAATATACACCTGACTTCTGACTCCACACACAAATGTAAAAATAAACACATGGTTTGTGTTGTGTACATCATTAGTAGTGCCAAAGTCAGTGATAGATGACAGCTACAGTAACTTGACATCCTAATTTATCATGTCTCTCCACATATAACTCAAGATGCACTCTGGATAGTTCAATGCAGCATTCATCACGCGTCTCTTTCACAGCCAGCAAGACCATTTAAGTGAACAGACCACCAGAATCTTGACTTCAACATATATCCCACCCTACATGTATCAGTCAAACATATGTATTTTGTTTGTTTTTCTCAACTGTAAACCTTTAAAATTGTTAAAGTGCTACTAACCTTATAGAAAGAATAACAGATGCTGGTACAACATCAACTCGTTGAACATAACATTGTTTGTGTACAGTTACTCATTAGCCATTGGTTCGTTCTCTGGTGACCAAATCCATCTAGTGCTTGCTGATCTACTTTTTTAGTCAACATTTCCTTCCTTGTATTCTCGTCTGGCTGTATCAAAATATTAACCTTACTTGTACATGGCTTGCCAAGTTTAAGTTGCCTTGAATTGTTTGGTGTTCCAAGATTCTGTTCCACTTCCAAGTTTTCATTGGCATAGGGTGACAATGGGTGTTAGCTTTAATTAGCAAATGTGGATGTCATGTCAAACATGTGAGGGGAAAAATTAGCAGAAAGACACCACCACGGAATGGACCTGAAGGCAAGACACATCAGTACTCTTTCATTTTGGACTTTCCTGTGCATTCTGTCATAATTCTCCTAACACACTGACTTGTCACTTGATGGAAACTGTACACACCAAGAACATTTTCACCAAACTTATTTCCCAAAGTTCAAGGCAAGACAGAAAACAATCCCTGTATCATACAAAAGCCAACAAAGCACCAAGTTCATCAAAGCAACAATTAGTACAAAGACATAGTTTACCTGCTGGTATTGAAGTTGTGGAGACTGTGTGTGGTACTTGCTGTGACAAACCCTCCTGGCCGTCGAATGTAGGGACTTGGACTTCTTTCTGCCATCTTAATAATGCAAATTCCACCCAATAACAATGCTCAACTTTCAGAGTGTCGAGGAAACTAAGCTGGTGAGATTCCAAACGACAACTACATGTAACTTTGGAATCAATACATCCACAGAAATGTTCAGAGATCTGTGAGTGCAGATTGATCCCTTCTGATCTGAAAACACTGAAAGTTAGCAGCAAAGCGTCAATTAAACTTCTTTGAAAACTTGATTCAGGAAACGTCATACAGTACATGTACACTGGAAGTACCAATAAGACCAGACTGTTCCGAGATTCCAAAAGCTGGAGGGAATTTTGTTAACGTCCAGTTGGATGATAAAGATCCGTGTCGACTTCCTTGCAAGGGTGTTGTCTACTGCAGCAATATAATGGGGTGTAATGGGAAATCTTGACAACAGCAGGTAGTACAGGATGTGCACCGACCACAGGAAATGCGACTTGGAAATTGGTTCTTCATATGGTATCCTGTGTGCCGATTGTTCACTCAAAGACCAGGTTATTCCTGGGATCACATGGGTCACCAGCAAAGCTGTGATTGGTTGATTGGTCATTTAAAGACCAGTGGACATTCATGACGTGTAACAAGAAGGTTACCACTGCCAGACTTTTGTTGAATGTAATAGAAGTGTTACATGTACATGTACATGTAACATGATAAATACTGTCATATGCATGTACGTTTGGGTATGCTGTATGGACTTTCAGTTATGGGTGTATATGCTATTGACACATACAAAAATTATGGGTTCACAAACTGAAAATGAAACAATGCTTTTAATGAATATACGTGTGTATTGGTAATTCCCATGTATAGTATACATGTACAGTGCATGTAAATTATAAAATGTATATTTTGGTTTCAAAGTTTATTTAAGCTGTAATGTTTTTAGTAGCATTTCCTGACAAAACAAAATAGCCTTGAGGCTTGAAACAATTTCAAACTGTTAGCTACAGGAAGACACTAGGAAATGATGGCATGGAGCACGCAATGTTCCGGTGAATTCTGATGACTACAAGAGCACTTTAGACAACTTAGAAGTTTTTATGTTTGGAATTACCAGTAATTTTGTCACACTTCATTTCCACATATAAGGCACACACACTCATATACACTATTATACAAATATGGAGTGGCTCAGCTTGGAATGGGAGGAATATTATCGCAAGGTAAAATCTGGACTTTTCCATTTCACGAGGCGAAGCCGAGTGAACTGGAAAAGTCCAGATTTTACCGAGCGATAATATTCCTCCCATTTCACAATTTAAAGCCACTCAATATTTGTTTTATATAACTGACATAAAGATCCTTGCCCTCTTCCAAACCGCCCCTTCACAAAAAATGTTTGAACCCAACGCTGTAGCGCTGGCTCTTTGGAACAATACGCGCTACGCGCAACGCTGACCGCGCACACCAGCATGCATTTGCACACAAATACCGCGTCATGGAACAAGCATGATCCTGACTGTTGAATAGTATTTCCCATTTCCCATGGGCGGATATTACTTTTTGAGCCCCGGCGTGAATGGGAGCAATAACGAATGACACGTGATGTGAGTTCCACCAATCAAATGACAAGGATCTGTATGTCGGTTATATAATTCTGATCATTTTATATTGAGTACTGCCTGATACAGTGTATTGTAGCTCAAAGGTAATGGAGAACATTTGTGAACATTCAAAAATGAAACAGCCAAAATATTATTATATCCTGCATACTTGAATCTATTAAGTAAATAAAAAGATCAAGCATGTTGTGAGATCATTGCGCCCAGTATGCTGTCATTTTCACGAACAGAGGAATTACCATCATTTCTTTGTGATGGTTAAGACCAAACCATCGTGAACAGAAAAGGCTTTTCTTTCAAATAGGCCTGCTCCCCGCTGACCAACTTTAGTTAACCGAGTGACAAACTGGCATTATGCACAACAAGAGGATGCTTGCAAGTCAAAAACTTATTTTAAAAGATGACCATTATGGAAGGAAGCATTTTCAACGGAAACTTCGCTTTGCTTCGAGATAAATTGAGATAGTTTGTCAAGAACTACCGGTATGATATCTACTTGAGCTAAAAAGTGAAATTAAGATTGATTATTTTTTCAAAGTGTTCACTTACATGTACCTTTAATATTTGAAGAAAAAAGTACAATAACCAGGAAAAGGAATACAATACAAAACATTATGTTTTGCATCTTGTTAGCTAAATATCAGGTTAGTATTGCACATGTTTTATGGGGATTTCATGATCCAAACTTCAAAAAAAGTAACACAGTAACAGCACAACAGACTGAGAAAGGAAGGCAGCATAGCTGCCAACATTTCAAAATCCCAATTAGTAATCAACCCGCGCGGTCATTTTCAACTGCTCGTTTTATCAAAAGCTTTACCAACATCGAGTACAGGTACATGGTTTACATGTACACATACATGTGCATACCCTTCTTCTTGTGAATAATAATGTAATGTAGGCCAAAAGATAATTAAAAAAAAAAAAAAATTAAAACTTTTTTTTTTTTTTTTTTTTTAATTAATTTTTTTTAATGTCTGTATTTGTTTGTTGGAGTCAAATAAATAATAACAATAATAAAATATGCGCATATTGTTTTGGAGATGCATGCTATCGATGTGGAGTTTCGAGTTCGTATCAATGTTTTTACACACAATGATTTAGGGCCACCGTCATGACCGTATGCAATAGAAATATCCCGCCAACATACCTTGCAAACGCATGCTGATTTATCTTTTCTGGACGTTGTGACAAACTCAAACTGTAATACCAATTATTCCAACCATACTCTTATTAAATTCCATGATTAAATTGTCGCACTGATGGGTCTCAACCCGGCAAAAAGCGACCAAATGTGCTCACGATCGTCACTGAAAAGTACTCACATACAGTACACACAACCACACATCCACGAGATGCACACAAATGACACACCATTGAAAAATAGTTTTAGTCTGGTCCTCAAGTACTCCACTGCGCACACTGCATTGATGTCTATCAGGTGCTCTACTGCATTCTTATTAGACTTGTCACCAGTCCATCCATTATCGCGACATTTCGCCAGAAGTTTTCGGTCAAAAACGATACTTTACAAGTATTTTTTTTTTTCATTAGGTAGAAAATGGGAAATTCGTAATGTTTTAGTGGCAAATCGTATTTTCGTAATTTAACAAACAATTCGTAATAATTACGAAAAATTAGTAACAGTTGGCAGCTATGAGGCAGGCATGCCAATTGCAGCCAGGAGACATCCCACAAATATATCAAGTAACAAACCCTCAGGCCAGTACACAACATGTAGTTCAGGCCATTGCTAATGACAATGGTAAAGGGTCCCTAGCCAATGGGGTACATTTGTGAGGTCACACAGGGTCAATCTGTGTCCCCTAAGAGGTCACAACAGGGGATTAACACCCATCTAGACAGGTTTGTAAACATGGCATCTAAAGGCTCATTAGGAATGCCTAGAGGATTGTGACCTGCAAGAGTAACAGTTACATTGTACAACAACGTGCTAATTGACTGGCTGTGGTGAGGGCAGAAGGTGACTTTGGATTGACTGACGTGTTCCTGATGTTGTCAGGACTTAGGCCAAGCAAAGGGGCCAAGTGACCCTTGCATGTTCTTTCTCAATGGCTGATCACTGAGCAGTGTCATATGAATCTTTACAACAAATTCATGTTGGCCGACTGCAAGTCGATGGTCTCTGTACCAAAAAAAGTTTGTACATGTATATACTCCTTTCTTAGCTTGTTGCAGAAACTTCACATGACAATCCATTTGCTAGTTTTCAATATTATTATTCTAATTCCTTTGGGTATTTGTGATCAGCGGATGAATATGAAATCATCTAATGTTACAATTCCTTGTGAAAACCCCGAGTGCATTTTTTGTTCAGGATTCCATTTCAGTTTCACTAAAAGCTGTGTCACATTTCCGGAGCGAAAACAAAATACATGTAGATACAAGTCAGAGTTAGGTGTAGAACAGAAAGTATGGTATGTGATTTGTGCCTCCATAAATGGTTAAAATTTTCACTGTCAGGTTGCATGACATAAATCTGTCAAACTTCTGCGAGTGTTACATGCTGGCCCCAAGTTGGGTCATAAGGCAAGTGATTCTTTCCAGTATGATGACAGTATTGTGCTGCAAATGAAGTTCTGATGGATTATGATGTATTCTGTCCATGGGATTTCCAACCTTACTCTCAAAAATTACTGTACCGGTACCTAAAGGTGTATGTCCTTGCCTACTTGCACATCGTTCTGGCAGCATTAATGATTTATCATGAGCCTCCTGCCTCACTGATACTAAAAATCTTCAGGTTTTTAAAAGCTGAATACCATACATTCCTGGCCAGTTGGCCCCACTGAACAGCTTGGATCTCAGGTATGGAAACCAAAACTTGTTTTAAGAGTCTGAAAACATATAAGTTTTACCAAAACATCTGAACCTAATTTAAAAAAAATCAGCACATTAACTGTTGATGACTTGCCTGTGTAAAAAGCATGATAGGGGAACAGGATTGAAATTTTGACTGTCTGTGACTGATCAAACAAAATGAGGGATACAGAAGCTAAAAAGTGAGATGCCATAACATGTTCATTGCTATTTACGCAGGCATGTGCATGTACGTGTAAACTGAAGTCATTCTTTCTTTTCCATTTTGTGTGTGAATGTTTTCTCTGTTTATCCAAGTCTCTGTGCTTGTTAAATACATTTCTTTAGGAATGTACAGCCTTTCACTGCATTGACCAGAACCTCTAAAATGACCTGTGTTGTTGACAAGCTGTCTGCAGCAAGCTGAGGTCCAATGGGTTTTATTGCTGCATACTTCCCTTGGCAGGAATAACTTTCAGACAACACTCAGCCACATCCTTAGTCAAGTCAAATAATGTATACAATGTACAAGTTTGTGGGGTATGCATACTCCTATATTGTGCAACATCTCATACCAACAATGTACATTGTACAATGTCCCATTTACCCATTTTTTTCATAATAGTTCCTGTGTATAAACATCAGTGATTCTTATGGCTGTAGCACACTTATAAACTCTAGCACTTTAGCAGTATCAGTAAAAGTGCATTTTTGTTTATCTTGGAAGAAACCTCAAAATCAAACATACATACATGTGCATGAACATGCACATGTACAGTGTACATGTACCGGTACATAACAGAAAATACAATGAAGTTTAGACATAAATGTTATTGTTGACAAATCTAGGTTACCCATAATATGTATTAAGTAACTGGTACAAAAACTACATGTACATATGGGTCTTTCTACAGTATTGGGTAATTTTGACGGACAAAGATTACACAAATGTTTTATTAAGAATCCATTGCAGAGTTACAAGTTATGTGTGATATTGTTAAGTATGTATTAAAGATATATCAGAAATAAAACGAAAACCATTGGTTGTTGTGTTTGTTTATTATTCACTTAACCCTGAAGAATGTGTCCCTAAAATGGTGCTAAATATTGTGACATTTCCTGAAAGGCAGGAAACTATTGCTTTTTCTCCCTGTTTCAGTCTCAGTATTAAACT